CTATTCTCTCTTCATTCTATAACAGTTTTGGGTTTTTTTGTAAAACAAATAATATAATCTTGAACAACCGAAATCACAATTTCCCAACAAATCCAAAACATGTTATATGATTGTATGTAAAACCCAAATAAATTACACATACCAACAAGAAAAAATATAAGGAAGAAATGTGTTGATAAGAAATAAGTCAATAACTAGTCTTTTATTTCAATTTTTTCTTGCAAGCAATACCGTCTTTGTTATTGTGGAGATTACCATCATTTTTGTGGAATTATTATCCATTTGATTTTGTATTATAGAAATGAATGTGTAGAAATTGTAGAGTCGGAAATGCGTGTAAAGTTTTTGAGACTCTGATTTCACATATGCGTTTCTAAAAGTCTTTTGTTTGCCTAGGACTAGGAAAACGTTGAAACGGACATGTGTGTGATCTTATCTTTAAGAGTTGATCATGCATACAGTGACCATCGAATGAGACTGCAAAGAAGACACTAGTGAAGGTGTGGATGTATCCACATACCATGGGCCCTTAAAAAGTTAAAATCCAAAAAAAAAAAAAAAGTGAAACCAAGATGTTCACATGTTTGTGAAGCGATAAATATTTTCTCAAAATCCACTATTATTTTTGTAACAGTATATTTTCGTGTGTGTGTGTGTTTAGTGTTATATTAAGAAATTTTCTAATTTGTTGTATCGGTTGCATTGGACTATGTTTAAAACACAACTCATTAAAGCTTATTTTATAAAATTATCAGAATTTTTTTTTTAATTAAAACAAAACTTCGTGATCGACACGGATGAGTCGGCGGTTGTTGAGCAGAAAATTGCATATTAGTGGTTAATGTATTGTTGATTGGTTTGAGAATCTATTAACACATAACCGACATTGATATCGTGACACTCTAGAGAAAGATCGAGCAAAACTGTTACGGATTTTGGTACAGAGTCTAAAATCGTAACAGTACGTGATTTAGAGCGAGGCTGAGACAGAATCAACATAAATGTTGTAGCAGTCCATACACATATGTTGAACCAATGCTTGATGCAGGTGTTGTTGCAGTTACTGACACATGACATAAGTGTGTTATGGTGATAACGATAATGCGAATTTGGAAGTTAATGTGTGATGCATGTTGACATTTTTTGGAGAAGACGGATATATATGATCAACATATGGAAAGTTTGGATGTTGAAAAAGTAGAAAACTTGACAGGATTATGTGTTAAGATATTTACAACATTACCGACCGCAGAACTTGATGTTCATGAGCCTTGATGCTCATGAGTCTTGAAGCCCACATGCAGGGCCGTGCGAGCCTTGATGCTCATGAGTCTTGAAGCCCACATGCAGGGCCGTGCGAACCGTGTTACCAAAAAGGCAACTGTCTTAGGCCCCAATTAATTAGAAAAATTTTAGGGCCCATTTTAAAGATTTTTAATACTTAAATAGATGAAAAATCTCTACTTCACTGTTATTTAGGCTAAATTTTAGGGCTCTATTTTAGAAGTTGTTTCATCTTACTTTATAATATAGGTTGTTTTTCGTTTTATCTTTTGTTTAACTTTTTTTATTCAAAATATTTTGTCGCATAATTTCTTAACCCATTT